TTTTTTTGCTGTATCTTTATTGTATTATTTTGTTATTTTGTTGAGTTAAAATGTCACACGCCAAGATGTCGTATGCGCTTAATTGTCGTGCGCTATAATTTCCACGCCCAATTAACGTGCGCTGAAATTATCACACGCAATTGACGGTACACCAATAATGACTAGTCCAGGGCTCGGAACTTTAAATAATTAATATATTTAAAATCAATTTAAAACAAATTTGTTTTATAATATTAAGTAAGTTTCTGTTGTATATTTTTATCTAGATGGAGCAGTTTTCATACATAGTCGTAAGTATTTATTATTATTAAACATTTAATAAGTAATACAATTTCTAGCAGTGGCGGCTCGAAGGGAGTATATTTGAATCATGTGATTCACAAAAATATTAATGGGTGGGTGGGTCTTATGGTTGGAAAAGGTAGACTTGACCATTTTTGCAGGTTGGTAATTATTTAAGTATTAAATTATAAATAATAAATGTAATATATAGCCGTAATGTGTACTCAGCAGATAATGTACCTACAGTAATAACTAATAAGTAATAAGTTATTACTAATAACTATATTTTAGGGTGGGTGGTGTAAAAATATTAAACGTGATTCGAGGGAAAAAAAGTTCAAACCGCCACTGATTTCTAGAATATAATTTATATTTATACACTTTATTAAACCTTGAGTATTAAACTATAACCTAATAATCAATTATTTGATTTTTATTTTGGTTAGTTAGGTACATATTATCATGAAAGATTAAAAAATGTATAATATAACTATATTAAGTATAAATTATTTACCTCCATATTCCCCTTTTGTATAGCTTTCTTTGTTTTTAATTTTTCGGCCTTTTCTTCTTTTTCACATTTCTTGGAGTTTCTTTCTAATTCTTTGACCGCAAATTTCAAGTTAAATAAATGATCTACACAACTCAATAAGGAAAATTATAATTATAAAAGTAATACTAATACTAACAGAACCAGATAGGCAAGGTATTGGCAAATTGAGTTTTAGGATTTATAACAGAAAARCAACAAACAGAYGTGGAACTTTGAATTTAATCTGCCATAAGCAAATTGGCTAGTCCATTATTGATTTACACTGATGATAACTTAAAGCTAAACACTTAAACATGACTTTAGACTCTCCAACTTTCAACAAAGCACTGGACAGACACCAGAATACCATATCCAGCTTGTTCAGGTATTAATTGATATTRATATTAATATTAATTACAGCTAGACGCTCAAATATACAGACGATAGTAAATTGTATCCAATTCGCTGTAAGATAGACATTCAAACAGGTTTTTTACATACCRAAAAGCAGTAGATCGACGCTGGGRACTATATTCAGCCTGTTCAGGTATTAATTTACAACAATCATGCCCATAAATAAATGCTCAAACTCAACTTTCAAACATTACCATYTTCAAAATGAAACCAAGGTGCCAAGCTTTATCACATTTTGACTGACCTTAAATGTTTGACAAACAAGTATTTGGTTAATTTTAACGACAAGACATCAGAAATCAGAAGTCAAAATCAGTGAATCTTTGGCACAGCMAACGACAGATGGAACAGATAGTTATAATATATTATATATAACTAAAATGTCTTCATAAAAGGATACTTTCCATTCCTGCCATTTCAAGGCCAAAAGAACAAATTATTTATAACAGTATTGAGTTAAGCACAATAAAAAGAAATATTTGACTCTTATAGAACGATRAAAACTAATAACTATAAAAGATTAAAGAATAATATTTTTGAAAGGAGTCTRTTGTTCTGTTCACTGTCGTATTTAAAGAGTATTATAATATTGTAATAGACAATAAAAGATTATAGCGTACAGTATCACAGTGAAAATAACACAAAAATTAATTCATCCTGATAACGTTCGATGACATCATCCCGAATTATTATTTATGAAACGAGTTTCGTCACCGGATTTATTCTGTATTTCTAATTTCTATGATTGTTTCATAGGTAAATTATATGAATTATGATTCATTTCGTCCACGGACCGCAATTTTAATATAGTTGCAGTCTGCAACTTGCAGACAATTAAAAAACAATACAATTAAGGCTATTGTAGGAATGGTTTTTAATTTTTATCTTTTATCTGTGTTTCCAAACTTCGAATAATAMACTTTGTAATATTGTTCTGGCGTTTTAAAATGTCGAGTGCATTCTTGGACATATTYTCTTGAATGCAAATAATTGTCGTAGTCTTTTGAACTTTTGACTTTTAAATAGGTGCCTAGGTGCATTTCAAAAATCACAACGTTTGTAAACTGTAAAGTTGAAGTCATTGATGAGCGGACAAAAACAATAATAAGATAAGGAAACATTATCAGTCTGAATGATCCACTTATCAACCGAGTAACCGACATCGAATATTCAAATATATTAAATTCTACATTCAAATTTCAAACCATTAAATATTAATTTAATTTATTCTGTGATGAAAATTCAAAACATTGAACATTCACATTGTTCACACAACACATTAGCGAATTGAAGAATAACAATCCCAGACCTAATGAAAAAATTCCCGGAATATATTATTACCTTACATCATTCTTTCAGCGAAACTGATTGAATTTATATAGTTGTTTTTTTTATAAACTGTAGTTTATAATAGGTAATAATTACAATTGGGTACTATTAGAGATATTTTGAAAAGTTTTACAAAATATATTTCTTAAAGATTAAAATATGAAAAATACCTCGGTACTCATATATAGGTATTCAAGCAAAATTCGATAACATTACAATACGATTTATAGTGTTAATAAGAACTGAACAATTGAAATTAGTTTGTGTCTAATATAAGAAAAATATTATTTTAATAAATGGATCAAATATTTTTAGAGTTCATGACAGTTAAACAAATAATATAAAAGAATGAATTAATTGATAAAGAGTAATGACACAATTAATTATTGCACCATCTTCTATTAAGATTGGTAGGTACTAATAGGTATAAATATTAGCTTATATTATTTATTAGTTATTTGATATATTATCAAATGTATATAGGTATCTACACTATTCATATTATATTAAAACAAATAGTCTATAGCCCTATAATAATATGTATTACGATTCCACAGTTCCACCAAAATTTAAAAACGCATACAAATATTTTAATATCTCATATACATATATGGMGCCACCCTCTCAAAAAATCCACCACGTAGACTAAAACGTAAATGACACAAAGTATAAAGACCTATTCAATGATTAAAAGAGGTATTACCAATSGGTTTCTTCCTCTATACAAGTTACTCATTTTATTTTAATCTTATTGTAAGTATCAAATTTGCTTATTGCAATAATATAGTAATAGATTGTTAAATGTCTTAATACAAAAAAAAGGTATTAAATACGTCATTTGATGTAATATCATTACGAAGCCCTGCAATATTATTATTTAATATTTTTTATAAAAAAAATTGTATGAAAATATTTGTCAGTCATGTGTACTGCTTAAACGACACTGTCTATAAGTTATGCCTATATATATATATGGCAAAGCCGCAAAGGTTAGCATAATATATACCTTAATATGTAACACGTAGACATGTAGTCTAGGTTACAATGAATAATTATGTACTAAAATTAAAGTTGTTCCACCAGATAAAATTTAATAGGTAACAAGTTACCATAAATTATTTTTTCAGACATAAGTATAAAACAATTAATAAATAATTTATTAAATATATTTTGATCAAAAATTATACATATTATTCTTGTAGGTATTCAAAAGTTAAAAAAATATTAATAAATAACACAATTATATAATATTACCTATAATAAATGCAATTTCACCATCACACCACACGCATTTAAAATATTATTATTAGACAATTTACCAAATTGTTTAATAATACGTCATCATCGATACAACCGAAGATCCAATGATMTATTTGGTATAAGATATATCTTTATAAATTATAATTTATAACTATTACCTATTATACAATATTATATTAATATTAATAATTGATTAGGTAACTATGTATAGGCATTTAATATTATATTTCAATTGAGCTGAAAAAGGTTAAAAGTGAAAAATACTTTTTTGATACAATAAGTAGATTAATAGGAATCCTATTATGCCTACCCAATATTATGACGATATGTGTAATAATACTCATTCGAGCCCAAAGATAATCGATTTAGTAGACAAAAGCTTCTACGCTGGCGACCGCAATATTGACGTGCGCCCATCTCGGAAACGAGTCGACGAACGTACTGAATTCGTCGTCCAACACCAAGTCCTTGTGTATCACCCAACTGTACGCCAAGGTGACGTTGAGCGACATTTCGTTGAAGCCACGGTCGCATTCGTGTTCCAACCAAAAGCTCCACACACTTTGGAGGCCGCCTGCCGCGCGACCCGCTCCCGACGAGTGCTTTATTACGTACACGTCGTTTCCCATCCACTTGGTGGTCACTTTAGGTTCTCCCTCGAAACTCCACGACTTTAACCGCGTACCGGGATAGGGGCTGACGTACACGTTCACCCTCTCCGGACCGGTTACGTTGAACGCGATCCGTCGCCGTCGCTCGTCGTCCTCGTTTACGACCACCGTGGCCGTGGCCTCGGACCGCTGAGACGGCGGCACCGGCCGACCCGGCAGCCAATGGGTGTGATACGCCAACGACCCGGTCACCGGTGAACCACACATCAGTTCGCTGACGCAATCGATGAGGGTCGCGTTCGGCACATGGTCCGCGACCGTTCGCGGACCCTGCCGGTCCCAGTTGACGATCATGTAACCGGAATCGTTGTGCCGGACGTCACCGCCGAAGTCGCGGAACGCGCGTCGCGTGTGTATCAGATCGATCCGCTGCTCGGTCTTGGTGCTCGAGTACGGGAACCCGATGGGCCGAACGGCCACGATGGCCACGGCCGTCAGCAGAATCGCGGCGCCCAGGCCGGCCAAGACGGGGCGAGGCCTGTTCACTAGCGCGATGGCCGGCGCCAGGTGGCCGACAGTGGCGTACGCAGACATGGCCATCAGCGTGCCGATCACGTAGTCGGGGTTGATGTTGGGCCCGAGGCGTCCGGAGATCGGCACGAAGAGCGACGCGAACATTTGCGTCAGGTACAGAACGAACGCAGCGGGCACCAACAGCGACGCCGCGTATCCCGCTATCCAGACAGCTGGCGTCCGGCCGGCGTTCAGTATGCCCAACGTGCAGCTGGCGACTGACGGCCAAAGCACCATGACCGCGAACAGGTAACTGGAGCGCAGACTCGCCATGGTGGCGACGAACAGCAGCGTCGTCCAGAACAGCTGAACGCCGTTGAGCATCGTCACGGTCCATTCCGCATCGGTCCTGGACCGGATTTTTGGGTAGTAAGCCGCCACGGTCAATATGGACCATGTCGCCGTTCCGAAGTACACCAGCAGGTTGGCGCGGTTAGTGTACCAGCTCATGGAACACCCGTGCCGATCCAGCGCGAACGCCACCAGCAGACACGACAATACGGCCGCCACGATCGTGCAACCGGGACTCACGATGGCCGTCAACAGGTGCAAGCTGTACTCGCGGCGGTTCATCCCGACCGTGGTGAATTTTAGCGACAGGAAAATCGAGAAGAAGGACAACAGCACGATTATGAAGTTGGCGAACGCCCCCGAGAGTTCCGTATAGGAAAACATGTACACGCCGAACACGTCGAAGAACACGTACTTGGATCTGGTGCTGTTCGTGCTCGCGTTGTGCGTGGACATCGCTTTGGCGAGCGCTAGCAAGTTTTCGCCCGTGTTCTGCAACACGGACGGTTCGATTCGGTCTAGATCGTCGTGTCTCGTGTGATAGACATAGCCGTTTTTGTAATGCGCCAGATCGAGGCCGGACACGTTTCCGAAATCCCTGAATATCCTGAAGTCCGTGTCCGACGGTATAATGCCCGATTGAAATAGTTCTTCGCCAATCACTTGTCCGTACGGATGGGGCGCGGTGCGGGCGTACAGGTCTACCAGGTACGAGTCCCGCTTGGTGGTTTGGAACAATATCTCTCGGCCACCCGCTCCGCAACTGTCCAGATTGATCACGTGCTTCACGCTCGATGACCACGGATGTCGAGTGACGAACCCGTGGCTGGCCTGCAGCATGATCTCTTCGCCGCCGTTGAACAAAAAAATTATTGGTCTCCTGAGACTCGGGGTTTTCGCCAAGATCCGTAACAGTTCCACCATCACGGCACAGTTCACACCGTTGTCACTGACCCCGGGCCCGGCCGGAACCGTATCGTAATGGCAATTCAACAAAACGGCGTCCGTCGCACCTTGTCCGGGATCTATCCTGACGACCACATTTTTTAAGTCCTCGTAACTCAATAAATACATCCAATTTTTCATGTTTAGAACAAACGAACCATTGACTTTTTGATTGTGCATTTCGATGTCGTACACGTTGCCCACTTCGTTTCTGATATCATTGATTTCGGATTTTAGGAGATCAAAAGCTAGTCGTTCGTTCGCATAACTACCAACCGGTCTCGGACCTAAATCCGCAAGTTTAATTAATGTGGACATGGCGCGTTTACCGTCAAAATAGTTATTGGTCGAATTATTATTTGTTTCGACATTGGGTAATTTGTTGTCCATGTAATATACAAACACGTTTAAAATTATCAATACTGCCAATGAACCTAAGAGAGTCGGTACGGCTGGGAGACATTTTCGATTTCTGACGGCTTCATCTTTAGTATCGCTGGATTTTTCATCAATTTGAAACGTTTCCATTTGTTGGATGTTGTCGGACCTATTACCTCGATGACGCAGCTCCATTCAATTTTATCCTGTACAAAACACATAATGCTAGAAACCCCTATCAATAAATACATTTCTTGGTTAGTAAAAATGTCTCACATTACTTTTCTTTGTGTTTTTTTGTAAGTAATTAAATAGTGAAATTATTGATAGTAGAATATGAGCAAAGGTATGAGCCAATATGAAATAATCGCTTAAGTATCTTTATCAGTTGAACGATAAAAATTAATTCAGCTAAACAATAACGATTAACAACTATTTTCTTATGCTTGGATTTATTACAGTGATTATAACTTATCTTCCTATATATATGTATATATATATATATAAGAGCTATGTATCATATATTAATTTAACAACTTATATGATATATATTGAAATATTGTACGCACCTAGAGTCTATCAATCAATAAATATAAATTTTTCTCATCTTATTTTTTAATTTGAATGAACAGTGAAAAGGAAGCATTCGATTAACCTAATAATTAGATGAGTTTAAAACATAACATTAGRCATAATTATTTTGCCCATAAACATTTTTACATTTAGATTTTGGATCAGGCAAGTATCAGAAATATTTCATATTGGCTCATTTTCCAAAGTCAGTATTTTGATTTTTTTTATATCATGGACTGGAGTGAAATGTACACCTATCTAACTTAACCAATCTGATTGTGTAATAATAATTAAACCTTGTATTAGTGTTATTTAAAACAAAATAAAATTAATAAAATGCATAAATATGTTTCAATACATAAGCATACGCGTGTATTAACAGTTAAAATATTTAATATACAATTTTTAAATTATGTCTTATATTTTAAACTTACAATTCAAGTCTTTTTTTTTAATAAAAAAATACTTTGTAAATTATACTTATAAATTTAAATTAATAATAAATATAAAAACCAATAACAATTAAGAACACATTAAAAATATTGTTTTACAAATGGTAATAACTCAGCTATTAACTTAAGTATTTTAATGGTATATAAAATGAGAATATAACAATTCATTTCAAACAATACATCACATTTTGCAATTTAACAAAATCACAGTTCATTTTGATTTTATAAATTAAATATAAAAAATAAATAGTTAATTAAGTAGTTATATTAATAAAATTATACGAATGTAAAGAGTGTTCAAGATAAATTTAATTTAATTATTTACAAAATAAAATTGTGAATAACTTAGAATTAAAATTAACTTTACCACTTTATAACTATAATAACAGTAGAATAATCCTTAATTACTATAATTCTAAGAATGAAGGTTTTTTTCTATGTCTTCTACCGGGTTCAAGTAAATATGTAATATCAACTTTTTCCTCTTCTGGTAAATTGGACAACAATTTTGTTAGAAGTGTATCCAACCTTTGTTTTTTAATTGAAAATTGAGCTTTAGATAATTTCTTTGAAGATTGAATAGTTTCTATATGTTTTGGCCGAGGAGTTGTAGAACAATTAGTCACTTTTACCATAAGACCATGAGGTGCAAATGTTCTTGCTAATTTCAATTTTTTATCATACTTTTCAAATGCATAACTTTTGGTACAAATTGGAGGATTTTTTGACTTATTCATTTTTGAAAACATTCTTGCAGATTTGTCAACTCTATACTCACATATATATAGATGTTTATGTTCAGAGCCAATTGGATAACCTTTGCTATATGTAGAAGGATCAAGAACCCAACACCTACCCATAATAAGATCTAATGAAATTTTTTCATAGATTGGGACTCTGACAACTTCATTAGGGTAAAATTTGCGAGTCGGTTCATGATATGTTTCATGCGGTCTAAGATAATGATGTCCAAAAGAAAAACGCTCACCCGTTTCATTTTTCCACAACCGCTCTACTCTAAATATATCACAATCTGAATACTTGAAATTTTTTATGGTTTTATAAGAATGTGATTTACCACTTTCAGGATTTGTTATATCTCTAAGTACATAAACTGTATCATTCACTCGAATTTGTAAATCTTCTCTTATTAATGTTAAATAATGAACTTCAGAGGGTTCAGCATAGCTCGGTGGTGTAGGTAATGGTATTTCATAGTCAACTTCTCGGCGATCACAACGTTCACATAAGTAATGTTCTACTTTTGCAGGATCTGCTTTAATACAATCACAGTGTTGCCATACTAAACAACGTTCACATTGAATCATTGTACCTTCTTCTTCGTGCAAACCGCAAATACACCGTACCACATCATCTTGATCACCACCAGGATTATTTTTCTCTGCTATAAAAGCTTCTGGAATAGGTTTTTCTAGAATGCTTTCAATTTTTGGTACAAATTCTATTTTGGCTAAATTATAAATCTTACGTAAACGAGTGGATATTACACCTAAATCTGAAGTTCGCCCATAATACTTCATATTGTTTGTAAGCAATTTCAAAATATCTGAATCAAATGCAATTACAGTATCATAAACACCTACTTCAATATTATTAGCAATCGTTGTCAAATCAATAGGTTCTGATATTTTTTGATAGTAATTTGGAACTCTACGTTTAGATGGTAATGTTATAAATGGTGTAGCTAGTATTTCACCTGTTTCTTCTTTAGCATTACATATTATGTCAAAAAGCTGCTTAAATATTGTGGCCAACTTAGCCTTTTTTTCCATTTCAGGATCATTTTGAGCAGTTGCTAGTCTTCTGGTTCGTACCGAACAACTATTAGTTAGGGCATTCATTTGTGCTCTAAATACCTCAGTTTGTTTTGGTTTATTATCTTTTCCTCTTCGTTTTTTCCTTATTTTTTCAATTTTTATAAGGTTTCTATACAAACAAATTTTATGTAGAAATATTAATTCTTTATCTTCATTACTGATTACAATAGGTGCGTTTGACACTAGTTTTTGTTGTATACTAACAATAGATAAAGATTTTTTAGGTGAAGTATTAGTATTAGGAGCAGCTTTCCTTGAACGATTTCTATTAGTTGGTAAATGTTTTGAAACACTGGGGGATCTTATGGTAATCCTTTGGGTTTTTCCTCCAATTACACCTCTACATTTTAGAGACTTGCATTTGCATGATTGGCCTTCATCTGGATTAAATAAGGAAAAATTATAGTCGTAACATAATTCTTCATCTTTTTGTATTTTACGAAGAGCAAACAATGCCATTCTAAATAATCCATTAACACTCCATTTTTGCATTTCACAATTAGGCTCACAAGAATGATTTACAAATCTTGCTTCACCACCCATTCTATGACCATCAATAACTGACCCTCCATCTAGTTTTAAGCAATAATGATGAACGTCATTTTTATAGATAGATGTCATTCTATCTTTAAATGTTTGTTCACTTACAACTTCACCGACATACTCCAATAATAATTCACCACTTTTGACCTCTTCTGTAGTTTTAATTCCCCAACCTTTTTCTTCAGTCATAAATTTAACCAAGCCGGGAGCCCACTGTTGTGTTTGTAGACGTTGATTGGAACATTTTTCTTTACATGGGCAAAGTTCAGGTGAACATTCAGCGAATATCATTCTATTTATACAATCATCTGTACAACCTTTACCTTCAGTTGGTACTACACAATTACATGCTTGTGCTTCATAAGTACAAATTGGTTTAAAATCATAATAAACATTTGTCTTTAACTTTCTATAGTTCCAAGACTGTATTGAATGCTTTTTATCGGGCTTCTTCTTTTGAGATTTTACTTCAATRGTAGGGTCTATTTTAGGTTTCTTAGGTAAACTTACACTAGATGCATCACTATCCTCTTTTTCATCTTTCTTTTTATCTTTTAACTTATTAAGAACAACTGCACGGATACTTCTCCTTTCTGGAGTAATTTCAATTTGTTCACTTTTCGGCCGTGGTTCAACAACTTTATGTTTAATACATATATCATCAGACACTACAAGGTCTGGACGTTTCTTCTTTTTTTTCTTTACTGGAAACCCAGTTCGGTTTATACATTTTTTTCTTTTCTTTAATTTTCCAATTGGACTTTCTTTTTCAGGTTTAACTAATTTCACTTTTTTAACATTAGTTTCATCTACCTTTTTTTTCAGTTGTAAACTTGGCATTTCAACAGTTGGTACAAATACGCCAGCAGGAGGTTTCCTTGGTTTAGGTTCATCTCTTTTTTCACTATCTTTTGCTTTAACTTCTGGAATTGCAGAATTACTTCGTAAGCCTGACTTTTTCTTAACTTCAGACTTTACCTTTACTGTTTTGATTTGCTTATCAGATTCACTACCAGAATTTTCATCTCTAGATACATCTTCAACATATGTAACACCAGCACCTGTTGATGATGTTATATGATAATGACGTTTTTTTAATGGTAGTCGTTGATCATTAGTAGTTTCAGAATCTCTTGAAGTATCTGGAGATCCTTTTTTTCTTTTTTTATCAATATCATTATCGCTGTAACTTGTTTTATCAATTTTCCTTTTTTTACCAGATCTGTCTCTTTGTTTAGATTTCAATGAGCTAGATTTACCTCTAATACTTTCTGAGATTTTTGATATATTTAAACATTGAATAAATAAAGTAACCAGATTTTCCATTTCAGCAATAAATTTTGGATTTAATGTCTTCTTACGCTTTTTTTTCTTTTTTTTACTCTTTTTCTTTTTTTTATGAACTTTAATTTCTTTAGGAGGATCATAATCTAAACTCTTTGTTGTTGGACTATTTGGTTCCAAAAGAGGAGGCATTTTTTTAGGACGACCAGGTCCACGCTTAAAATTAGCTGACAATTTAGGTAAAGCATTTTGTGTGTTTGTATTTACTTTATCACTTTTTGTTGCGATTGCACCTTTTGGTCTTCCTCTGCCTCTTTTTATAACATTTTCCTTTTGTTTACCATTAACAGTTTTGTTCTCTAATGAATTAGTTTTGCAATTAGGTTTTGGTATTACGCTTTCTGTTTTCTCCACAAAATCTTTTAACAATTTGGACGAATAAGCTGGTTTTTTGTTTTCATCTTCAGAAGAATTATTTAAACGTATAATTGCATCATTCACGACACAATCTTTGATTTCCATGTCACTTGAGTCGCTACTGTCACTTAAATTTTTTGGTTGAACATCATCAAATCCAGTAGAGAAACTTTGATTTTGAACATCAGATAAAATTTCAGCTAAGTCTTCTTGATTAATAACTTGCAAATGTTCTGGTTCTAAGTTTTCAAGCTTTTCTAGTTCTGAACTCGAAGAAAATGTTTTTTTTGGTTCTTCCTGCCAAAACTCTTTTTTTTTTGATCCATCACTAGAAGTTCCATCATAAATTGGTTGCTTCACAAAATGCGCTGATTTAGAAGAAGAGCTAGATTCATCACTAGAACTTGAACTCGAATGAGAATGTGATTCTACCGAATCTTTAGTTCTTTTTTGTTTGTCCAGTTCTTTCCTCTTTGACCAAGGTACATATGATGATAATGAAGTATCAGATGAGTCATCAATGTTATCATCATCCACTGAAGAGTAACCAAATTTTTTAGTGCAATATTTTTCTTTTTCAGATTCAGTTTCAGATTCTGACTCTGATTCAGAGAAATCTACCACTTGGTTAGTTATAGTATTATGCGATGTCTGAATAGGATCTTTAATAGCATCCATATCAACTGTTGAAGGCAAATCTTCTAAATCAGAATCATGTGCTGGTTGATGAATAACAGCACTCCATGCAGAACTGCTTAGAAGATCACCACAGACTTTACTTACAGATTCATTACTTTGCCCTGAACTATTCATTGTATTTGTGTTGCTTGTTAAAATCATAATAACGACATATTTTACAATTAAATCTAATGAGAATCTTTTTTAAGTGCACATTTTCAACATATTCATGTTATTAAACGGTATAAACAAACAATTGACAAAGGTATATGACAATGATGAGATTTTTGTTATGATTAATGTGATGAACTTACTGCTTCAGCGCTTTATGAAAATAATAACAGTTCACCAACTCAACTTCGGTAAAATCTGGAAAATATATTAAAATGTTACAATCAGTAAAAAAACAAAATAAGTTTAAGATTGTACCACCACAAAATTATAATAATGTATTAAAATGTTACATTAATTTAGCAAAGTGATGTAGCTATAAGTTCCCATTACAAGCATAAGCAATTGGTAAAGCATTGGTATATCTTGTATAATTTTTTTTTCGAGATATTTTTTACCTATCATAGCTGAGGTAAGAGGCRACAGAGTTTTACCTTTCAAATAATTTAACAATAATACATCGACACATAAAAACACTACATACTCAAAGTTTTGTAGTAGAATTGTAAACATTAGTGTCAAGTTAATACAACTTATTTATACTTGTGTATAACTTTAATTACTCTTATGCAGTATAAGTATATGAATAGGTAACTAGTTAGTAATTACATACATATACAAAAATAATGATAATCAAGATAAATATGTTGTAATATATAATAAATACAGCTCAAAACATAGAGCAAAACAATATCTTGATTTCTACTAGATAATAATTATACCTATGGATATAAAGTAAGGCACTTCAAGCCACGACTAAATAAATAAGTATGATTACAAAAAAACAGTTTTCCGCCGATTTGCACTACTCTATACACAGAACTATTGCTCTTAGTTATCTGCATTTCATTTGTCGACAATGTTAATAAAATATAAAAGATGCGGAGAACCTAGTGATAGACGAGGCAAGGGTGATATGCGTATCATAAAGTTGAGATCACACATATTTATTTAGTCATGCTTTCAAGCCCAAACTGAAATCTGTTTTTATGTACTATATCTTGGGTACTGCAACGTAACTAACTAATTGATTTGTTCATAATACTGTTTATATGTAATGTTTTGTTTTTATAACAAGATCAATTTTTGTTTTGTTAAATTTTTAACCGTTTAAACTAATATCAGGTTTAATGTTAAAAATTGATTATATTCCAGAATGATAAGCGTTATACGTTTAGAATGTTCCGAACGATATACATTCATAATATTATATTGTTTAAGGAGGATACAAAATAACTATATTATACAACATGAGCAATTATAAATTTTCAAAGCATATTATGTAGTAAACTAATGAACACATAAATTTGAATAACAAGGTAGAAGATTTAATTATTAAATCTGTAAATATTAAAGATATTTTTAATTTAAACATTATTTATATAATTAATACATTCTGGTTGAATAAGGTTTGATTTATTTTAATAATTGTGTAAGGAACAGTTTTTAAATGCACGTATCTGAATGATGATTTAATGTTACGAAAAAGTATAAACCAAAATACGTATTAGATATACGCAGAGTACAGGACGGATATGTAGACATCTATCATAATTATCAAATTATATTGAGTGTTACTTACTTGTAAATTAAAATATGTTCGTCTGGAAATTGTTTTCATCGGAATAATTTTCCAGTTTTCCGCCAACAGACAGCATAAATAATTAAAATAGTTTTAAGAGATTATCAATTTCTTCTCCGTTGACACATTTGTCATTTGTTTGGTTATCCATATAATATTATTATTATTATTATTCATGATTCTGTTATCACTATCACATGGAAATGGCGAAAAGCGTCTCTCAAGTCTTTATTTTTATCTCTCTCTCTCTCTCTATTCGAACTGCGGGTAATTAGTTATACGGCAGTCCGGTAGTCGTTGAAACTTGAAATTTTCATGATAGTCGGTCGACGATTGTGTTTATCGACTCTCGGGTGTAKAACTGTAGAGTGTAAATTATATTGTGAATAATCATTAATCGTGAAATGTATGCGAAACATAAACGATTGATTGCCGAGTTAATAGCGTCCATTGACTTGCAACCGAACTCGATTGTCTCGATTTATATATTCACAGTATAATATTTAAACATCGAGTTAATTTATGCACATGTTTGTTTACGGTACGTTTCTCGTCAAATAATGGTCCTATCATTATTAACGTTTGTTATCAATCTTTTTATTTTTATCGTTAATTCATTTCATTAGTTCATTTCTTCATTACTAAATAGTAAATACTTCTTATTTGTTTCTGTATTCTTTTTGAGTGCGGCTTTAGAGTTTAGAGTTTTGATAGAATTTTAATAATTTTATCTAAAGCCTTGGTCGTTAAAGACTATTGACCATAGAGACATAAAACGCTATGACATTATTTGTTACTTCGGCCAATTAATTTATAAATTTAGTTCAGACATAAGATTTAACTAATTTTGCTTTATTTAGTGGAAAATTACGTTTTTATTAAACGCTATAATGGTTTACTTATCGATGTCCGCCATGGTTTAGACTGTAAACAATGTATCTCCCATGACAAAGTATGTATAGTGAATACATATTTTGTCATGGTATCTATTGCACAAAATATATTAAATGGTTATTGTAATATTCACTATTATTTTTGTTATGTGGTACCTACTACTTCAGACTTCTTACTGACTCGAAGCTAATAAATTACTTTATCTTAGTTTATGAACATGAACTGTATCCATGAGTCGAAAAAATACGAAATACTTCAAAGTGTGCAAGGATTTTATTGTTAATTAGGTGTTATTGGATAATGTTTATTGTATACTGTTACTTATACTTACGTAATATTCATTGTTGTTCATTCGTAGATACTGAGCAGTAAATAACATTCCATTACTACAATTTTTTAAGGTGGCACTAGGCACTAGGTATGTTGTTTTAAGGTTCATAACTCATAAAATGTATGTATTGAAAAAAATCAGATATTATTACATTTAACTAATTTATGTATGATAATTCTGAGTTTAATTCAAATATACTTAAAAACTAACTAAGCTAGTTGAGATCTGCAGAACACTGAAGWGAAAAGAGTATAAATTTACTATTACACACATGTAAAATAGAGATAGAATCAACAAATCTGGGTGTAATCTCAATACAGTACATAATTGATATTGTTTGTATATTACTATGTTGCAATAACTAGGGTCAAGATTTATTTTTAGGTTCAATAAAACTTGAAATATGATGTTATTATTCTTTAATCGGTAATAAGTACTTTTCAAACTGCACAAATATGATTTAATATGATGGTTATTTAAAGGGCTTTGTACTTGATCCTAGGTACTCCAAAGAAATAAATGTATTCAGTATTTCAAACTATTTTTTTTTATCTAATTAATGTATTTAATGTAAATAACTAAAAATTTCTATTGTAAATTTTTTTATTTCCAAGTAACGATGATTATGTACTTTAGATAAACTGGACTCTGGTAATTTATGAGTTAATGGTTATACCTACTTTAGATAAACTGGACTCTGGTAATTTATGAGTTAATGGTTATACCTAYTTTAACTAAAGAGTATAGGCTACAGTTGATACTTGATTGAATCAATTATCAATATGGGTAATATTTAACACAAATAAAATTTATCTGTACAGTGTACGATTGATGACAAAACAATAAATACATCATACTTACAATTTCTAGAAATGAAATGAAATCCCAGACAATTGGTGGCGATTGCCGATATTTATATAATCAATAATACAGTAGGTACTAATCATTATAGGAACACTTACAATAATTTTTAAATTACAAAAAAACAAGATCATCTATAACTGCCTGTCATTAGTCAACTTCTCTTATAAGCTTAGTCAACTTCTCTTAAGGAAAAACATTTTAAATGCATTACTGCTAGGACAGTTAATGTACTTCTTACATAGATTATATATTATCTATGACTTCTAAATATTTTACATATTTTTTGAGTGTGTCATTTCATATTTCCTATTGCACAATATGATAGGTATTTCAATGAATATTTTGTATCTATTAACCTACAAGTGTTAATTGGTTCCATTTGACATTTATTATGTCAATTAAAGTAACACTTTTTTTAATTAAACTTTTGAACCTTATTAAAATAAATACAATATAAAAAAGCTGGTAAAATTCTCGTATTAGACTTTCGAGCTTTCGACCCAACGAATAATATTTTATTAGAGTTAATGAAAATTTAAAATTTCATAAATAATTCAAACAATTCAAAACATTATGAAAATTTCCAAGAATAGAAAATGATAAAATAAACATAATATAGTAATATACTGTGAATTTCAAGTATCTTCGGCTCTTTGATTATTCGTTATTAAATTACGACATAATAAGAAAATTGCTCCATGAAAAATCAAGTGAATATTCAATGTTGTAAAAATTTGAACTTCAAATGATCATAATAATTTTATTTGACTTTTTTGTAAACATTTTTAGAATTTAAGAGGAAACTTGTATTAAATATTCTAATATAAAAAATAAAAATTTTTTAAATTTTTAGACCTCAATAATTTGCAAATTTTCATGATTTATAGATTACAGACACTCGTAAGAAATTATTGTGGTTTTTTGCTAATTTTTTAAATTTAGCGTAAAAATTCCTGTTTTCCCTTAAATTGTTTTTTTTTTTTATCCTGCCTTTTGAAAACTACTTGGAATTTAAATCTTTCAATTACATCAAAAATATATTTGTCATTGCAAAAGATACTGAAGTTGAAAATCAGAGCATTATTTCAACTACTATTATTGTAAACACACAAAATTTAAAAAAAATAGATATCATTGTAAAATCAATACATATGCTCTGCTCAGAATCTTAAATTAATATTACGGCATAATAGTATTAAAGTCTTAATATATTGACATATTTTAGTTGAATACTGAAAGAACTTCAAATGTTTAATTAAAGTTGTTGATGTGTATCAGTTTGATTAAATTGGTATAATAATTTAAATTAAAAATATTTTAGTACCTACATTTAGAATTAAAAAAATAAATATTTATTCATGGTAAATATAAACTTTAGATAAATGTTATACAAATACAAATAGTGAAAACTATTTAATAAATTTATTTCCATTATTAGATTGCAACTTTGATTTACAATTTATTATTAACAACAGATAAATGTCTTAAATTGCTTAGATAGGTATAGTGTCTCTAGAATTTTTGCCCAATTCTCTTGGATTTTATGATAGATAGTCAGTGGTCCGGGAAGCTACTGTTTTTTTGCAGCATGCTAAATAAGCTACTGCTGCTCTCCTCAAAAAAGTAGCTTGTTATTGCCAAAACCACTTTTTTGAAAATGTTGTGGGCTATTTCTAACACTATTGTTTAAATTAAGTGTATTACTTTTTTAAAAGCATTTTCTTGATTTATTAAGATATTCACTWAATCATTATTTTTTAATGCCAACCACTATTTTTTGTATTTTCGGAAGACAGGTTTATTCAATGTTTCTAATGTATCTTTATGACAAAACTCAAAACAAAAATAAGCCGTCATAATAATATTTTAATGATCATGAAATAGGTTGGAGTAACGATAAAATAATGAAAATTTTTGCTTTTGCTGACCGTATATTTATAACAAGCTATAATATTTCGCTACAAAGTGTATATTATAGTGACGCAATGTTAATCACTACAACTAAAGTAGCGTGCTTCTTTGCGCTAATTGTAGCGACACTACTTCCAACCATTGTATATAGTTAGTATAGTTATATTAAATATTGAGGTCTTGAGGACCCAAGGTATATTATATTTAGACTATATACAGTTTTTTATCTATTTTATCTCAATATGGGCATGATTATTTAAGGGTAAATTTAAAAAAAAAACTGTTGAAATTATCCTATATATATGCGTGTATTAACTCGCATAGTTAAATCATGGTAAGTAACCATTTTAATGCCTTTGTAAAGCTACCGATTTATAATATGAAGAAAACAATTTTGAAATTAGTTGATTTTTGAATGAATAAATTATTGTTCTGTGCTGAAAGCAATTTATATTTTCAAAAATACAGCATAATATTGTAAAATTGTTTGCGCTTTTCATACCTTTATAAGTAATCCAATCCAATAGGTAATAAAAAATGCACTAATCATTGAAATTGTATGTAATATTTTTATTTTTATTTATAATATACTGTTCAATAAATCCACCTTTAACAGCACAAGTAAATTATATATAATAAAGACTATGATTTTTGTTACAAAATTAATGTGTCTCTGAAAATAATTCACACATTTTTAAATTAAAACACTAATTTTGTTATAAAGATCATGAGTCTATAAAATTGGCTTGCGCTTAACAGTTCAGAGGTGGATATAATATTGAACAAACAAATAAAATATTTTACATACAATTTCAACAAGTAGTGTGGTCTTTATAATCTATATTCTATCGGATTAGCATTAGTTACAACAGTATGAAAACCATACAATTTTATATTATTATGCAGTATTTTTGTCAATATAACTTATTCATTTCTTTCATTCATTTAGAATTTAATCTTTAAAAAAAATTGTTATTTTTCTCTATATAATAAATGAATAACATTATTAAACAGCTATACTTAATACACTGTATAATAATCAATAATTAATAACTAATAATTTTCATTGACAATTATTTATTTATTTTGCATTTATTAATATAATGACTAGAGGGCGTTATATCATATATCAGCATATTATACAACATTTTATATCTGATATTCGATGAAAGTATTAATATATAATATACATTTAAACAATATAATATAAATAATTAATAAAGCTTAAAAAAGAAAGAAACATTTTAAATTGTACATAAGCATAAATAAAAAGATTATCACAAAAACAATACAATAAATAAACTAAAATCAAGCTAAAGTTATACTTTAGGTATCTTAATATTAACTTAGTCTAATTTAAATTGAGAAATATAGAATGACATTATAATGTACGACATAAAAAAAACATAATGGATAAAATAACTCTTTCACATCATGATTTGCACTCATTTTGGTCCCAACGCGACACAATAAACATTTCCCATAATTTATACTGCATAATCATATTATATTATCAAATTGTTTATTCGTTTGGTATCTTTAAATGCGAGCCTGAACTAACTAGATATTTATCAATTATTGAAATCAACTTCATGAAATATTATTATATTTTAAATTTATCAATTATTATTCATTTGTGCTATTATTATATAAGTATTATTAATTTAATCATTATTTTGAAGCACCAATTGGGTATGTAAGGTTTTGGTTTAATTTAATTTATGTCGATATTCAATTATTACAAGTGAGTATTCATGAATTCCTATATTATTCATTAGTTTTATAATAGCTAAATGGCACAAAACAAAACAAACTTTAATTTATTTATACATAAGACCTTTTTTTTTACTAGATAGAAAAAAGATATTTTGTAGTTATTATTACAGAAATTCTATTTCAAATTCCAAGAATTTTTTAATATAGTACTAATAATTTCTAATTAATATACCTCGAGTAGAACTTATAATAAATTATTAACCTAAAAATCTAAAAATTATGCCAAGTAAGTCAATATTAAATAAGTTATATCACGTAGAGTTCAGAGTGCAGTTAATCATTTCACTTTACTGATCCGTCTTCAATTATGTAGGACACAATACTGAAATAAAAATATATATATAAATGTATATTAATAACATTTTTATTATTTTTTGAAAACTAAGAAGAGTAAAACTTATTAAAGAATGTTGCACTGATTACCCAGACATTTAGAACAATAATTATTAAAAATACTATAGTTAAGTGTTAAAAATGTTTTCAGTACCTAATAGATTAAGAAATAGAGCTTCAAGTTGCTTAGTTTAATATACATTTTAATTGATATATGTGTATTGCGAAAAAAGTAGATACAAGTAATAAGAAATAATTCTAACTGTTAGAAACTAAACTTCAGAATAATTAGAATATATGTATTGTAATTAGAAGAAAAATAACTATTTAGACTCTAAATCTTTAAACTCAATAATTGGCATGTGCATATTAGTTAATTTTCATATAAAAAAAAAAAGTAAAGTTCATAAAATCAACAAGAATTTAATGAAAGAAATATTGTCTTATAATAATCAAAATGTCTTGTTCTAAATATGAGAGGAAAAGTAATATTATAAAATGTATTTTCATTTTTTAATGTATCTGTTTAATTAACATTACAATAAATATACTAAATATCTTAAGCACAAAATATTTACCTTTAAGAATGTAGTCTGTTAGTAATGTTGGTACTGTGGGACTGTCTTCGTTAATTGCTTTTAATACTAAAAATGTTATTATAATATATATATTATAAATTAAACCAATTAAAAATATAGATAAATTTATTTTTCATACTTTTAATGAGAACTTGTAGAGCCTGATTACTTAAAGGTCCACTATCCAAATGGTATGGTATGACTGTGGTTAAATACTATAAAATATCAGATTGTCAATAACAGAACAATTATAAAAAAAAAATTAATGTAAAACCGTGCAATACAAAACATACTTTAGGCTCATTTGTTACATTTTTATTTGTATTTCCTGCTCTCGAGTTACGTTTTTTCTCAACATGATATTGTCTCCTTCGATTTTGAACAGCCAATAGCAATGATATAAATGAGTTTTTTAATTCTTTTTCAAACTCCAATTCATCTCTTAAAGCCAGTTCTGTAATTAATGTTTCAGAATAGTCTCTGATCAGCAACTCTAACTCCATGTATACTTCATTGAGTTGAGAGACATTTAATGTTTTTAATTCTATACAAAAATCAACAGTATTAATAAAAAATATTTTAAAAATAGGCTACATTTATCAATAAATATCAACTAACTTTCTTCTAATAACGGTGAATGAACTTCCTTAGGATGTTCTGAGTCCGGAGTACACTCATTTGAAGTACCTTCCTAAGATTTAAACATGTTTTTATACTATATAACAGTGGTGTATA